AAACCCGCCCCGGCCTCGGGGCGCACAGCCCGTGTCCTGCGGTGCCCCCCCCGGCCCCCCTGTGCCCCTCGCCAAGCAGGGCCACGCGCGTGCGCAGCACCTGCCCCGCAGGCACCGTGCAGCGTTCTGCAGCGGGAAGGATTTGGAAGAGCACTCCTGTGGCTACGCATCTCCACAGACCAGCAGATGGTGGGCTCCAGCCCACAGGCAGTTTGATCCCACCATCCTATGGAGTACAGGTGCTGGTCACCTGGGTGCTGGGGCAAGGACAGGGCAGAGGCCATCAGCAAGAGGCACAAGGTGCAGTTTGTAGGTGGGCGGACAGCCTAGGGCACGGGCCTTCGCAGAATGGCAGCCTACAAGAAGAGCTTTCACAGGGCCGGATGGCAGGAGAGCAGCCTGCCAGCCAGTGTAGCTATTCTATGAAAGCATCCTGTCCTTGGGCAGCCAGACACCAGGGCGCCGCTGCAGCCAGCACGGGGTGCACAGTAATGCTGCTCCCCAGCGCTGGCCTCTCCCAGAACGCCACAGGAGAATCACCACGTGGCCCCACGTGTGCTGGAGCGTGACAACAGAGGTTGAGGCAATCCTGAACACCCACTGTTCAACCAGACCACACTCTGCCCAGCTCACGGGGTGCCTTAGCTCAGCCCTACAGCCCCACTTGCGCTCAGCAGCTGCCCCTGCACACCCACTCATGCTCCTGCTCACACACTGCATCCCCCGCCCGAGACCATGGTCGACCAAGTGAGAACAGTGAAAGGGAAGGGGGCCGGAGGCAGGATGCACCAGAAGTGGGACCCCTGTGGAGCAAAAGGCTTGCAGGTGCCAGGCAGCAAGGGGGAGAGATGTAACGGCATGGCCTGGCCCAGCCTCACACTGTGAGCCAGGCTCTTGTCCCCACCACAGGGCTTTGGGAACCATGGAGAGAGAGGCCAGGCAGGCCGCACAGCCAGGCTCTGCCCCGTCACCTCTGCCATGCCCTTGTGACATGCAGCATCCAAAAGCCAGCGGTGAGTGTCCATGGTTCAGGTTGCAGGGGCAGATGCCTGTGGGTTCCTGGGAGACCCTAACAATCCTGGCCACGTGAAAGGGCCGTGGGAGACTGCAGCCTTCTGGGTCCGACCAGTTTCAGCGCAACTGCACCAAGCCATTGCGACCATTACAGATTTTTGGATATGGTGCCGGGGTGCCGGCTGCAGGGAGGACAGGATGCACAGTGAGAGAAGCTTCCTGCAGGCACCAAAGTTCCCCCATCCCGCTTCCTTTCAGCTCCTGCACAGGATAGAAGACCTGGGATGGGCTTGCAGGGGAGCCGAGCCTCCCGTGCCAACATGGCACAGCACGGCCCCAGCTGCTGAATGCATGCCCAGTGAGCCCACAGCACCCCAAACTCACTGATTTATTGAGCATGCACCGCACTCCTACCCAGGAACCCAGACAGAGCTCACAGCTCCAGATGGGCAATGGGGCAGCTTCTTCCTTCGGAAAAAGACAGCCCCAGCACCCAGCAACTAAGATTAGAAATTTCAAAGCGTAGGGAACTTTTGGGAGACACAAAAGACATCAGAGGGGGAAAAGTGTCTGTCAGGAATAACATGAAATCAAGGCAGAGGTCTAGCAGCAACAAAATGAATCCCAGCAGATGGAGATGATAAAATTGCTATTAAGATGCAGAGAAACAAGAGGTTCTCAATAATTCTGTCTGTCCTGCATTTAGGAGGAAGCAGGATGCAGTATTGATGGCACAAAAGAGTGAGAGTACTTCCACCGTCTGTCAATAGCCAAGGAGGATATTCAGCAACATCTGTAGGAGACAGCTCTTGTTAAATCCTCCGGCCTGGAAAACACGTGCTTAGCGTCCCCTGAGAGGTGACCGAGCAGGGATCTGGCTCATGGCATTATTTTTTGTACAAATATTGCAGTACAGGAGGAATTGCAGAGAGCCTTCCTCGCCATGCTGTCCTGGCACATCCCTCCCCTCCCACCCTCCTTGGCTGAGGTCCGGCCGCATCAGGGCCATGCTAGGGATGGAAGAGGGTCCAAGGTCTGAATGTACCTGAGTGCAGGGGACCTGGACGCCTTCTTACCCTTTGTGGGGCCTGTTTCTCTTGCAAATTCTCCTACAAATTCAAATGCTACTATTCAAATTCTTCTGCAGCCTTCTACAGCCAGGCAGGTGGGCTCTGTGCAGTACCTGGCACAGCATAGCTCCAGTCTCAGCTCTCTGTGCACCATGGGGCATCCTGACCTCACCTGAGGCTGTAGCAAAGCCCGATGCAAGTGGAGCATCTAGAACTCCATCCTGGAGTCAGCAGCACCTGAGTATTCAGATTTGAACATCATACAGGCTTTGTCTTCCTAAGGGAAGAGGCCAAACCACCCAGACAGCAATACAGGACGACAGGGTGCCTGGCAAGGTGAGGAGAACATAGCTAGAGTGGGAGTCCCTTCGGGAGGCTTCTTTGTGCTTGAACAAATTCAAAGGGGAGTCAGGTTCTGACCAAATGAGCTCTTCACACCCTGCACAGCTCATCACGGGCACAGGCTGCTCATATTTTTTCTGCAGTCATGGTGAGACACTGCCGACATCTCTCCATTCACAGCAGTTCATTTCAGGTTTGATGCTTCTACTGAAAAAGTGACAGATTTCTGCATTCAGACTGCCAAAGCCAAGCTCCATCTGTGTCTGATGCTGCAGCTGGTGTTGCTCCAATCCCCAAACTGTTTATATCCTTTGTATCTGACGCACGTTGGAAGCTGGGTTTGTTCCCTGCACTGTAGAGACTGGCCTTGATGCCACCTCCAGTAGCCCCGATACCACTCTGTCTGTGAGTCCCTACGGCCCAGCTAGAGCCCAGTGGATTGCTTTGACAGATGGCTGTCGTGTAGCGCTGCTCATGTAGAGACTGGCAGGGGACATGGGGTGGGACTGGCAGATGGAAGAGGATTAGGAAGCCCACATTGCGCCACTTGCGTGCCAGACTCAACATTTAGTCTACTCCCTAACACAGACATGGTGAGAGGCCCCCAGCAGGATGCTTGGCCCCCAGGGCTGCCTGCCGCTCGTGTGGCCGTTGGCCTACGGAGCCCCAAGGAAGGAGCGAAGGACAGCACAGGAGCTGCTGGTCACACAGTCTTAAATCGGGAGGAGAGCAACCAGTGGCTGCAAGCAGGGATTCATAGGCTGTAGGTCCACATGCAGGAGCTCTGTTCCCACCCTCCTCTATCTCAGGAGGGCCCAGCAGCTCTTCTATGTCGTCTCTGGGCTGAAGCTCACAGCATGGCCCTTTCTCTCCCCAAAGGCAGCAATTGCTGCTCGCCTGGGTAAACACTTCCCGGGCAGGTCTGAGCACGCACCAGATAGAAGAAGCCAGAGAAAGTCTTCCAGGCTCCTGCCAGCCCAGCAGAG